AAGGCATGTGAATAGAATAGTCTGTGGGGTAAATAGTGAGAAAAGAATCAGATTATGCTACCCAGGGGCTCAGATGGAGGATATAACTGACAGAACAGGAAATATAATAAAGGGGGCTAGCAGAGATGCCATTTTTGTGGTGCATGTAAGGGCTAATTATGTAGGGAAGTGTAAATCAGAGGAGCTAATTAATAAATACAAGGGGTTGATAAAGGCATTTAAAGAAAAAGGCCATAACTTAATTTTGTCTGGGATACTGCCCAGAATTAACTGTGGGGATGAAGTTATAAGTAGGTCACTAGGGCTGAATACTAGGCTTAGGTTAGCATGTAAGGATGAGCAGATTGGCTGATTGGACTTGTGGGATCAGTTCAGTGGAAGAAGGGAGATTTTTGGGATGGATGGTTTACATTTATATAGGGTAGGGGCTGGCTTGTTTGCTACGGCTATTAACTCGGCTGTCAACATAGTTTCACTAAGGGAAAATCATGCTTTTCAAATCTTTTGACATTCTTTGAAAAGGTTACTGTTTATGTATATGAGGGTAAGGGTATTGATTTGGTGTATCTGGATTTTCAGAAAACATTTGACAAGGTGCCACATAAAAAGCTTATAAAAAATTATCTCTATATATGTGTGTGGGGATAAGTTAGCAAATTGGATAGAAGAGTGGCTGGATGGAAGAAAGTAGAGGGTTGTTATAAATGGAGTTCAGTCAAACCGGATTAATGTCACAAGTGCAGTACCTCAGGGCTCAGTCTTAGGACCTTTGTTCTTTTGGTAGCTTCTAAGACTGATCAACTATTACAACAAGATCCCTTTCTTTCATGACACTGTTAATGTTATTCCCATCTAAATTATACTTATAATTCAAATTATGATAACCCACATGCATTATCTTGCATTTATTATAATTAAAACCCATCTGCCATTTATTTGTCCAACTCACTAAATGATCTAAATCCTTTTGTAAATCAGCAGCATCCTCTTCACAGCTAGCAACACCCAAGACCTTAATATCATCTGGAAATTTAAATAATTTATTGACCATTCTTTCATCTATGTCATTGGTGTAAATTACAATCATTAGACTATCACTGAAACAGTAAGTACATCACTGACTACAATCATTAGACTATCACTGGAAGAGTAAGTACATCACTGACTACAATCATTAGACTATCACTGAAACAGTAAGTACATCACGGACTACAATCATTAGACTATCACTGAAACAGTAAGTACATCACTGACTACAATCATTAGACAATCACTGGAAAAGTAAGTACATCACTGACTACAATTATTACACTATCACTAAAACAGTAAGTACATCACTGACTACAATCATTAGACTATCACTGAAACAGTAAGTACATCATTGACTACAATTGTTAGACTAACTGAAACAGTAAGTACATCACTAACTACAATCATTAGAGTATCACTGAAACAGTAAGTACATCACTGACTACAATCATTAGACTATCACTGAAACATTAAGTACATCATTGACTACAATTGTTAGACTAACTGAAACAGTAAGTACATCACTAACTACAATCATTAGAGTATCACTGAAACAGGAAGTACATCACTGACAACAATCATCAGACTATCACTGAAACAGGAAGTACATCACTGTCTACAATCATTAGACTGTCACTGAAACAGTAAGTACATGACTGACAACAATCATTAGACTATCACTGGAAGAGTAAGTACATCACTGACAACAATCATTAGATTATCACTGAAACAGTAAGTACATCACTGACTACAATCATTAGACTATCACTGACTGCAATCATTACACTGTCATTAAAACAGTAAGTACATCACTGACTACAATCATTAGACCATCACTGAATAAGTAAGTACATCACTGACTACAATCATTTGACTATCACTGGACGAGTAAGTACATCACTGACTACAATCATTAGACTATCACTGGAAGAGTAAGTACATCACTGACTACAATCATTACACTGTCATTAAAACAATAAGTACATCATTGACTACAGTTATTACACTATCACTGAAACAGTAAGTACATCACTGACTACATCCATTAGACTGTCACTGGAAGAGTAAGTACATCACTGACTACAATCATTACACTGTCATTAAAACAGTTAGTACATCACTGACTACAATCATTACACTGTCATTAAAACAGTTAGTACATCACTGACTACACTCATAAAAAATCTTATTACAAACATGTACAATGTCAAAGCTCAACATCACTATATCATTATAATCACATACATTGATAGAACAGAAGATGAAAGATATCACAAATAATATTAAAATATAATTCTATCTAAAACAGAGAAAACAATTTAACATCTAACAATGTATAATCAGCTAATTCTGTCCAAACTCAGTTCCCTTTTGTTCAGCCACCTAACGACTACCAAGTTAGAGGTACAATCAGACATCAGTAATGGTATTTGGTTAATGCTCTCTTGAATTGTCTAATAGAAACTTAAAAACACTTAGTATTTAGCAAGTGAATTTCACATAATACCTAACTCAGTAAAAAAATTTTGTGATAACTAGGTGAACTAGACCCAACTCTAGTAGAAAGAAGATTTAATAACAGGGTCAATCTTCAAGTGATAAAAGTTCATTCATCTACACATTGCATGTAGAACCTAGTTCGGCAATATATACATATATATTTACTTAAAAAAACAAAATTACCTTGTCCTAGCTATGGAAGATCATTTCTGGAATAAATTTAAGTCTACAGCTAATAAATCTGATCCCACAAACTTACTTAAACTTAGCTGTAAAATGTGTCTAATACCAATATCTAAGTATCATTAAGTTTGATAGTATTTATCACCTTTCCTGAACACTTTCTTCGTGACCATTCAGGCTTTCCTCTTCTTCCACCAGATGGCCAAAAGGTTCAGAAGAAATTGAGACAACTCTAGACAACACTACCCTGGAATCACTGCTTGATGAAAGTACCAGCTGATCATGAAAGTGGTTGTATCGTACACTCCACACCCTAAAAAACAATCACCGGCACACATTAATGTTGTTTAATATAAGACCACAAGAAACAAGTAATATCCAGCCACACGTACACATGTGTGGGTGAAGAAATGAATACAAGTTAATAATAATAATTGTTAATAATCACAGAACAGTAAAGTTGAATTCAAACTGACATCCAATAATTAGCCTCGAAAAATAATTATAATCACAGAACAAAATATAAGGTGAAAGACTTTAATACTGAACATAGAAAAATAATCATAATTACAGAACAAAATAATTGTCATACAATATAACATAACGTTTTGGGACAACATGGGAACTACTGGTCCATCTCGGCTGCTCCATCATCTAAACTAAACTAAAAGTATTAATAAATTAATTTTAAAAAAATCTTAAAGGCAGCCTTTATTATTCATATACTTATCAAGTTTTTTTTCTTAAACTCACTTAAATTTACTCCCTCCACAACATCCAAAGGCAACCCATTCCAAAGGCCAACCACCCTGTTAGAAAAATAACTGAAGATGACTCCTACCTTGTCAAAATTTATACTTGTGTTACCCTGTCCTACTATTCTCATTGTTAAATATAAAAAAGATGATGCATCAACACTATTAATTCCCGTTACAATCTTAAACACCTCAATCAAATCTACCCTAACTCTTCTTTTTTCAAGTGAAAACAATTTGAGAGATACAACCTCCCGTCATATGACAACCCATCCATCCCAGGCACCATTTTAGTAACCCTTCTCTGAACCCTTTCTAATAATTCAATGTCCTTCCTCAAGTAAGGAGCCCAAGACTGAACACAATATTCCAAATGTGGCCTAACCAGTAACCTGCACAATGAAATTATAACCTCTTTAGACTTGTATTCAATATTTCTGTAGCTACAACTTAAAATCCTATTTGCTCAACCACTAGCAACAGCACATTGCTTGAAGTCAGTGATGTACTTACTGTTTTAGTGATAGTGTAATAATTGTAGTCAGTGATGTACTTACTTTTCCAGTGATTGTCTAATGATTATAGTCAGTGATGAACTTACTGTTTCAGTGATAGTCTAATGATTGTAGTCAGTGATGTACTTACTGTTTCAGTGATAGTCTAATGATTGTT